CGCTAAGGAAGGCGGGGAGATCGCGGGAGTCCTGGGGGCGTATCTTGCCCGGCAGGACGGATCGAGCCGAGTGCAAGTCGTGAGAGCCGGGCTGGAAAAAACGGGAGGAACCGGCTCAGGAGCCTCCAGCTGCCTCTGCGGGGGAGAGACCCGTTTTTAAGGGTGTCCCACCTAGGACTAGGTTTAAAAAAAAACCTCTTGGGGCGATGAGAGATTCCGCTTCCTCCAGGAGAGTCGAAGTGCCCGTGATAGTCGACCTCTCGTATTGTGTACTTTAAAAAAAAAAAAAATCATTTCCACCATCTTTATGTTCTTTTATTTTTTCTCTCCCTCCCAGCTTCAGTAACCCAAAAATCTGGAGGGGAAATATACAGTTTTCCTTGCATTAATAGCGCTTGGCTTGGGGGAAAAGGAGGGAATTTCACTTGTTACCTGAACTCCTTTGGCAATAGTTTAAGAAAAGAAATTATATTCGTCCTTTAGGTGTTCCGATTCTTTGGGGGGCGGGAGGAGAGGTGGTTATCCTCGATCCCCCTGGGGAATGGAGACGCCGTCCTCCGGGAGCTGCAAGGCACATGGTCTGCGACTTGCCATGTGCTGCTGGCGCTCGCTCTCTCGTGCACTATCTTCCGACGTCCTGGCTCCCTCCCAGGTTTCCCCTTTTGTTTAAGGAAGAATGTCTGCTTCGGATCAGATCACCTTAAAAAAAAAAAAAAGTCACCGTATTCTAGGAAGTCGACAATTAGGCAGGCGCGGAGATAGGCGAAGGGAAGTCCTTTCTTTCAGCTCAGCCATAATTTGCCTGTATTTGGGGATATGGAGGCTTTCCCTTTAGCAAACTAGGTATGTATATATAGCACAGTTGACTTTTCGGCCTGAGTGGTTTCTGTGTGTGAACAGACAGGCACAGACAGATTGGGTAATCAAATACCTTGGTTTGCTTCATTAGAGGTACATCCAGCTTACCATTTTAAAATTTATTTTTGCTCTATCAAGGATGAGGTTTGCTACTAAAAGCTTCACCCTTCAAGATAAGCTAGCACATTTGTCTGCTTAGGATAACTGCATGGTGTATATACCCGGCAATAAATGTTACTGGGGAACATTCAGAATCTAAAGAAATGGTAGGCTTATTACCATTAAAGTTGGCAGATGCTAGCTTTACGTTGGCTCACATAGTAATCAAGAGATAGCAGTCTTATTTTTCAATCACAATTTTTCCTGGAGATGGAGTTAGCAATCCTTTCCTTGCATTTTTTTAGCAGCTATGTTAGAGTAACATGAGATGGATCATAACATTGCTTAAAAAGGATGAAAACTATTTATGCAACCAACTGAGATCACCTAATTGAAATACCTTGTTGTAAATTGTGTATTAACCTAAACCTACTGATTATATTGCACCTAAAATAATTTGGATGATGTATCTGGTGTGTTTGGTTTTGATTCTCTTATGTTTTACATGAGTTAAATAATTACATGTTCTTGTTAATGCTAGATGTTATAGAAATGTTTATTTAATAGTGGTGACTTATTTTAATGGAAATAAGCACACAAGAATTACTAACCTGCAAAAAATAAATTACTGTACTGGCCTACTGGGAGAGAATAGAGATAAAAATAGAGAGCTGTTCTGTTCTGGGTTTAGAAGAAGGGGTTTTCCTCTTGTAGCAGTCTTTGGTTTTTATGTTGGGCGTGTATAGAATTTCATGCACTAATCTTACTGCAGCTCCTGAGGACCTGTGTAGCTACTAAGATGCTTCTTAAATTCACAGAACTATAGAGTCCCTTAAAACTCTGTGTATGTTTAAATTAGATCAGGAGTTTCTTAAGGGCAGAAAGATGTCAGACTGGAAAAACTACCATAATGGGATAGAGTCAGTGCTTAAGATTTCACCACCCTATGCATATTTAATTCAGAGTTCTGAAAATATTTTTATAGTGCTTTGATGTAGTTGGGGTCTCTTAATTCAATGCATATTAATTGCATAAAGATAGAATTTGATACATTTTGAACGGGCAGTTGATGTGGACATACAGTATAATCTGAGGTTCATATGTTCTAGTGACTTTATATATCATATAGTCTTAGTGGCACTGTATGTTATATTTTGTGGCATTGAATGTACCCTGGGACTCCTATTACCAGAACCCTGTTTAAACTACAGTGCATTTCAGAATAGCATTATGCTACATTTTTGAAGATACAGAATGTTCTGTTGCCCAAATTCTGGCATAACCCATGTAAAGTTACTTATTGAATAGAATGCTCAAAGTTGGAGAACTAATTTTTCCTCAAGTGAAAGAAAGTAGGGGAAAATCCTTAGCAGAGAGTTGCAGTGTGAAGATAAATAATGTTTAAGGAAAAAATTCACTTTTGCTGGACCAATTTGCGGTTAATTGTTCCTAGGAAACAAGATGAGATTGAATATGATCAGAGATGTATTATAGTTTTCAGAAAGTCAACATGGGGTTCCTTTGTCTTTTTGAACTGTATCCTAACCAGGTTTAGGCTGAAGGAAATTCTACTGGTGTCAGTAGTACTTTTTAAAAATATGGTGTATGCTTAAATGTTAATGAAAATAATGTCCTGAACATGTGTATCAGTATCCTACAGTTAGAAAGAAAGAAAGGATTTTCTTTCAAGCAGACTCTGTGCTGATAATCAGACAGTTCTAGGTGCATGAAGAATACTAAAACTACTACAAAGTTCATGACTGACTTAGTGGCATTTTCCCCCAAATATGGTGTGGCAAAATTCTGTGAAACTGTAAAATATATCAACATTTTAATTTGTATTTTTATGTTGAACTTCAGGTGTCTTGCGTACGGTGGTAGAGGCAGCTAAATCTGGAGTGTCTGTCCTCAGCTTGTGTGAGAGAGGAGATGTCATGATCATGGAAGAAACTGGCAAAATCTTTAAGAAAGAGAAAGATATCAAGAAAGGTATTACATAGCTACAATGTTTTTAATATATAAATTGTTCCCTATTTAAATTCCATCCATTATTTCATGCACTTACGTGTGTAGAAATGTTAATATGGAAATTGTTGGAATATAGCCGTAGTATTTGCTGCTACCAGCAAATCCAACCCAGATTTTTGTCTGTGTGGGGTTTGTACTAGTTACTAGGCTGTAGATTTGAAGGATAAAATGTGATGTGGAGCAGTGCATATAGCACCTTTTCTTGGATTTGCATTGCTGCCTTTTACAGCTGATGTACAGTGCCAGGAAAAGACACGTTTTGGTTTAAGGTAGGGCTGTGCAGAAAATGAACAAGGTTTTTTGTTCCAAGCTGGAAACAAATCATTGTGTTCTGGGAGTTTCAAATCATTTCAGATCAGGCACAATTCAGAGAAATAAAACATTGAACATTTTAATTGTTCCATATGTTGTCTGAACCATAAACTGGAAAGATCCCATAGTAATTTTATGAGGGAAGTAGGCCACGGTTGATGCTTGTCACTTTTCCCTCCCCTCCTTCAAAAGAAAGGTGCAGATACTTTTCTGAGGTACCTGCCTACCTGCTTCTTGCCACCTGCCTACCTGCTTCTTCCTGCAGTGATCTCAGTAGATCCCGGAATAGCAGATTGACTGGCTGACTGACCCTCCCCTGATCTTCCCAATACCTTTCTTTTCATCCTACTTTTCCTCATTTACCACCGCTGCTGACCACATGGTGAATGTGGGCCTTCTGCACTATGTATGGACCTTCTCAACGTTCCAATGGCCATGTAAGCGTTCGGCCCCTCTCTTTTCACCTTTCACCGCTTGCCACCTTGCTGTTAGTGATATAGATGCACATTGTTGTAAAGGAAACCCCTCAACCTTGGCTTTTTCTTCCTTTTAAATTCCCCCCCCCCAACACCTCTCCTTAGAACAGCATTTCAAATAAGTGTCTGGAGCAAAAGAGCCTTGTTTTGTCCTAAAACAACACATATGAAACACAGATCAGGCACAGACCACCTGAGGCTAGTTGTTCCTCGCACAGGACAGTTAATTTTTTAAAAATAATTTTTTGCACATCCCTGGTTTATAGGGTTCCCAGCAGTTACCTTGTGCACTCCCAAGTATGCTCCAGATCTCATTTTGCCTTTCAAATCCATATTTCTGCACAGCCCTGCTAGTTTGTTTGTAAGCCATAGCAGAATTAGCTATTCCTACTAATGGTAATAAATTATACTTTAGAATATCAGACATTTAATTTTTGCTAATTTAGAACTTCTGGGTAAGTCTTGTCTGTAGCACTGGAAAGCATCACACAACTACTACTCATGTTTCTGGGAGCCTGTGTTATCTGGTTAACTGAAAACAGTGAATTAAAGGTTTGTTTGTTCTGTCCTAGTGGGTCATTTGATACTGTGAGCAGCTAATTTATCAATTTCCCCCCTTTTTCTTGGATTCATGTACTTTGAAGCATTGCAGAACTTCTAAAGCGTCCGTTTATTTATATATCTGCTTACTTACTGGGCTTATAGCCAGCTCCAAACTTAATAGACTCTGAGCTGTATACATACCTGGTAGAACAATTGGATAAAAACAAACAGATAAAAATATATAATCTCAAATACCCCAATATATTTGAGGTACCAGTAGTATGACTTACATCTAGATATAAGGAATATAAATTCCTACATCTAGGAATAAGATATATCAAAGCCTGATTTTTCATCAAAGGCATGATGAAAAATCCAGGTTATTATGGTGTTTTGAAAACTCAGGAGCACAGGCCCTGATCTTTGGTGAAATGCTGTTCTAGAGCTGGAAAGAGCATTTTCCCAGAGATTAGCGGATTCTCCCTACAAGATGACATTCCATGTAGGAAGGGACCTGGAGAAGGCCTTGTCTTCCAAATCTTAGTGGAAGGGCAGTAACCACTGGGAGTTGGCAGTCCTGAAGATACCCAGATCTTAACCCATGAAGGGCTTTAAAGGTGATAACCAACACCTTGAATTGTGCTCAGGTATGAAAACCAAACCACATCAATGTTCTTGGGGATTTTAAAGTAGCATAAATGTTGTCAGTCTTGGAGGCAGAGAACGTAAGCCTATTTAAAGATGAATAGTACTATCTGACCTACATACTTAGAAGTAATCAGAAATGGGGTTCATGACTTAAGTCAGTATCTTGAATGACTTTTCTTTAGTTCCAGAGAACTAAGATATAAGCTACAGGATGCGTTTCAAATCAGTGCACACTTGGAAGACCACCCTATTGAACAAAATAAGATTTATTTCCATCTGAGCATGCAATAAGATTACAGCACTAGAGTGGCTAAATTTGCCTTCACCTCTTGATTAACTTCATCACATGCATTGTAATCCTTGGGAAAAGTTGTCTGGAAATATACTTTATGCTTCTTCAGCTATTCCTGGTCACACCTTAAGTGTCTGCCTCTACGTACTGACCAAGCCCAAAGAAGCTGTTGTTATAAGACAAGTTTGTGCAGCTGTAGCAAATACTATACATTCACAGTGCCAGCAGAAAAAAAGATAATTCGAATGAGCAGTTTGTGGGGCAGATGAAGTTTCTGAATTATGTAGAGATCCACAGTATTACTCCATTTATTTCTGCCTTGCTTTAAAAAATGGATAAGCAAAACCAAGTGTCTAATATGAAATGTCTAATATTACAATGATAAAATTTGCACATTCAACTAATAAATATATATATTTAAAGTGGGGAGGTGTTACAGGACTAGTATGAACTCACTGCGGCTCCCTTTTTTGTGTAGGTATTGCCTTTCCCACAAGTATATCGGTAAATAACTGTGTCTGTCACTTCTCCCCCTTGAAGAGTGACCAGGATTACATCCTCAAAGATGGCGATTTGGTCAAAATGTAAGTGTCTTTGATTACATTTCTTTTGCTAATGTTTACTTAATTAATTTACTGAGCTATACATAACAAGGAGCCAGAAATGTATCATTGGTGTAACGCGCAGGAGTGCTATTGGCATAGTGCGGATTTCCCATGACAGGGACAGGATAAAGTTAGTTGGCTGTGCCCTGCTTATCAGGTGGAGACTGTTGGTTTAGCTGCCAGCTGTTGGTTTTACTATAGTACATTTGAGACATTGAGGACAAATGTCTTGTAAGCAGAATATTTAAATCCTAGAATGTCACAAGAATTGTCCTTGTCGCTTATTTTAAAAACATTTTAAGCTGTTTTTCCTCTTTGTGCTGCAGTGACTTGGGAGTCCATGTCGATGGCTTCATAGCAAATGTAGCACATACTTTTGTCATTGAGGCATCGAAGGTAAGTGACTTGCATGCAGCTTTGGGAAATCACAGACACTCAAAGTAGATTTGGTCTAGTAGAGGGAATTTATATAACCAGCATCCCTAAGTAAAAGTAGCTTGCACCGGAGTTCCAGATGGATGGCTGTAGCAGTGGAAATGCCCATGCCCTTCTCTCTGGTGTCCCTTTTAAAGGGCCTGCCCAGGGAAGGGAAGGGGCCTGCCTTTCAAAAAGCCTCAGCCAGGGAAGCAGCAACAGAAAAGAGGAGGCCTGTGTGCAGGCCAGAGAGGAAGAGGTCAGAGAGGACCAGAGGGAGCATGGCAGAGTTGTGGTGTGGGTGACCACCGCACACTTTAGCAGGTGCAAGGAAGTGGGGTGACCTGAGGACCCAAGCCAGGATCATGGGAAAGACAACGACCCAGTTACCAGTACTATTGTCAGGAAAAGAAGAGAAGGCTGACATTGCCAGGAAGAGCTATCCCCATTACCACGGGAGAAGACAGAGGCCCAGGTCACTTAGAGGAGAAAGAATCTGAAACATAATAAGCCAGGCAAAGAACACCGTGGATCTTTAAGTACCTGTCAACATTGAATGCTATTAAGGAAGCCCAAAAGATCAGCTGCAGTCTCTTGCCCTGCTCTCTGGCACTTGGGCTAGAAGAGGCTCCTAAAGAGACAGGGAACGAAGCCAAGGTCAAGCATAAGCCCAAGGACAAAAAGAAATGCATAGAAATCAAACACAGAACATAGAAATACAGCACCATAGAATGTAGTATCACAGAATAAGAAATAGCAGATTTAAATAAGATAGTAGGAATGAATGTAAGAGTAAGGTACAGAATAGATAACAAGTAGGAGAGATAGAAATAGAAGGTAAGAAATTGGACTATTATGGCAACTAAAAGAGCCCTGTATTATTTAACAGAAGGCAAAGTATATTTTCTATGGAACATTTTGTACAAAAAAGCGGAGGGGGGGGATTTTCCCCTAATGGGACTTAGCTTACGCCTTGCCTGATTCTATACCATCCACCCTTGATAGGGTTTTGCAATACCACTGAAAAGAAAGGTTTTTTAAGTGCCACAGACAAACTTTCTGCAACTGTATAATGCAAAAATAATATTGGTGGTGGTGTCTTATGAATGTTCAATGGAAATTAGATATCTAAGATAGCAGGTTTTATCATTTTAGTCCCCTAGGTACTTTGGAAAGATAATTCACAAACATTACTTCAGATCAAGCTGGCTGCCATGACTCAATAAACTCTGTTGTAGGCATGTGAAACCATGGCTTTCACATTTGGTTTTGCCAAATTTTCTTAAGATTTTTATTCTAGCAACTTGCTTCTGTGATATTTATTGCTCAGAATGTTTGTACTGGGTAAACTTGCTATATGCAAATGGCTGCCTCTGTTGATGGGAGCAGTTGAATCTACGTATAGTGGGGATCTCTGTTGTTGCCAAAAGGAGCAAATAGCTGTATTGATTGGTCAGATCATCAGGTGATGTACATTATTTACAGCTTTTTGAAGGATTTGTCCTATTCAGTTTGGCCAGGGGAGTCAGCATAAAAAGATAGCAAAATTATTAGAGCCACAGATCTACAAAATGATAGGACAGAAGACAGTAATGAATAATAAAAGGCTAAACATGGGTCATGCTGTCACTATCAAGGTGTCTTTTGAGCTTCCACTCAGTTGTTGCAGATATAGTAATGGACCATTCCTGTATGTATGGATGGATTTAAATTTATTATAGCCAGCCAACTCCAATGGACTAAGAGGAATAACTCAGTCTAATAAAGAATAGTAACAGTATGGATTATTGTTCCTATAACTTGTTTGTTAAGATTCTTGAATCTTAGGAGGTACTAATCTAGCACCAAAAACAGAACCCTGGGGAAAACATTACCTTGTGTATCCCAAATGTCTTGCAGGCCTTGGGTGGCAAAGCATCTGGGCCTACTCAAGATAGTCCCATGTAGTAATGAAGGTCAGTGAGACAGAGTTTTCACTTTTAGCCAAGTTCTATCTTTTATGTTCTGTGCAGCTTCATTCTGTTATCAGAATTTTTGAGTTTATGTCTTACATATCAGTTAGAAAGCTCTTAGTAAACTTTTTTTCCACTTTTAAAATGAATGCTTCTGTATTACTGTTTTTTCTCCCCATGTCAGGAAGCTCCAGTGACAGGTCGCAAAGCTGACGTCATAAAAGCCGCTCACCTCTGTGCTGAAGCTGCTCTGCGCTTGGTCAAGCCGGGAAACCAGGTAAAATTATAGGCAGTGGCTTTTCACATGGGCTGCAGCAGATTGAGGGAGATGGCCAAGACTTTCCAGCTCCAGTTCAAGCCTGAACTAATTCTGAGTATCCAAATGAGAAACTCTGACTTATTCTGAGAGGAGCTAATGTGAGGAATCTAGGGAACAGAGCTGCTGTCTAGACTGGGTGGTGAGCAGATTGCTGTTGCTCTGAGACTGCCAAGCAAGGATGGGTAACAGGCCTCTCTGAAAACTCAGGCCTTGCCAACATAACTGATAATCTGAGAGGGCAGAGGTAGTGCTCCAGCGGCAGCTAGAGAACCACACATTGTCGCCTCCTACTTTAAAGGGCTTGTAAGTGCCCAGTCAGCATTTAACCTTTTGCTTGTGAAAAAATGAGGGTCCTGGAAATACCTAAAGGTTCTTGATGTGTTTTCAAAAAGGTGGCACAAATGTTTAGTAGCTTAGAATAAAAAAAATGGGACTGATCTTTCCTTTTTCCATTTAATTAATCCATCCTTGTCTCCCAAGGATTTCTGCCCTAAAAACTAGAAATCATAGATTTGTTTTCTTTCAGTTATTGACTGTATTCATCTCTGTTTTTGCCTGCACAGCTTTTCGATAGCAATCAATTTTTCCCCCATCACCTTGCTCTTAAATTGAAAGCTTTTTCTTCTCTCTTGCAATGCAGAACGTTTTTGTTAAGCCTTTGGAGTTCATCGTATTCAGTGTTGGGCTGTGTACCCTTTGAAATTGATTGGAATAAGTCTTTCTGACCTTGTGTAACACCTCTCTGCTATTTATTAAAGCATAGGCATCTTTTTCAGTTTTCTGTTGGAGCCTGAAAAAACACACATTGTGCTTTAATGAATACTACAAAATTATTGTGGTTATACTTTTCAAATAATTTTTGGAGCATGCACAGCCCTAGTTCTGTGTATATGCTTGGGATGTGTGGAGGAAATGCATATCCAATGTTGTAAATTTCCAGAAGAGTGAAATTGCATTATATGGTCATATTTGAATTGGGTCCATATTTTCAACAGAATTCACAAGTAACGGATGCCTGGAACAAGATTGCTCACTCATTTAACTGCACACCAATTGAAGGTAAGAGTTGGCTGGCTGAAGAGTGAAGTTGATGCAGAATAATAATAGAAGAGCATTTATTGTAAGCAAAAGTCTGATCTGTACAACTTGAATTATGAGAAGTGTTAATTATTACAGTGAATTGTAGCATGCCAGATTTAGATGCCTTAATAACTCTTGATATAACATTCTTGCAAATAATTGTTCTGGGCCATTTCTTTCTAACCTCTTAGAATCTCTTTTTACAATCCCTGAACAATAATTTCTAAACTACATATCTGCCTGTTTGGGTAGCAAGATTAATAATTTAATTTGGGGATTACAGTTCAGAGCTGAGAGGTATACCTATGGTGCACTGAAAGGCTTTGCTGGAAACTGCAACAGAGAGGTCAACAGAATCAGTTCAAGCTATTAATTCTGTGGTGTCTTTGACAGTTCTTTATGAGGTACCTAGCAAAATAAGCCCAATGCCTGGGATTAAAGGTTATCAGAAAAGGCTCGTGGGAGTGGATTTTGTTTTAGGTTCTGTGAAGATGGATGTCAGAGTAATGTGATGTTCAAATGCTGTATCAAAAAAAAGTCTTCTTGCCACCTGTCCATGAAACTCTTTATATCATTTCATTATGGTAACTTGGAGACTTGCCCAACTCAATACCCTTTGAAAAAGGTGTTAAACAAGAGTGCAGACTTTCTCCCTTGCTACGTAATTTCTGTATTAATTCATCTGTCAAAAAACACGTTCCATTCTACGCTTCTGAGGAGTAAACCCACATCTGTCCTTGGATGCTGACATAGTTATTTTATCTCTGACCCAGGTGGGCCTAAGGTGAAGTTTGCAAGCATTAACAGCTTATTTCAATAAAGGAAAATTGAACATTTATTATGCCAGAACTAATACATTGTATTTACCAAGAAACACAATATTTATAACTGGAAGAGAAATAAAATCCACGTTGAACACATAGGACTGAAAATATTTGAGAGTCTTCTTCCAATCTTCCATAAAATGGAAGAACCAAACAAAATGTGTCATTGTTCAAGCCTCAAAGATATTTAATGTACTTTGATTTGCTAGCTGCAGATGTGTTACTTTTGTTCTTACAACAGTAAAAGTCTTTAAGACTATGGAGTTAGCACATAGTTTTATATGTATAAGGACTTAAGAGACTTAGGAGTAATCCACATTAGCCTGATGTTTGTCAAATGCTCTCTTGCATATGGAAGCTTGTCTTTCCTCCACAATAAAGATACTGAGTAACTAAACTGTAGAAAATATCATCAAATGTGTTTCCTCCTGGAAGAAAAGCTTAGGCACAGATGTAAGGCAGCAGTTCTATGAGAAAATGTCATTGCAGATTTTAAAAAGTATGCTTGACTCTCATTTACAGGTTTGCTGTGTTCCTCCCCCTGTAGAAAAACTGTCAACTCTGTAGTAAAGAGGCAGCTGTTCTTTTAGAAACAAGTGCTGGCAGAAGTATAAAAATTCAGTTTCTTAAACTAAATAGAGTAGCCATCTACCATTCACCTGATTGAGGAAGACCCTCGTTTGTGTGTGCCTTATATTTTCCCTGATAAGGGGAAGGCCAGATCCATCCATCTATTCTTGTAGAAAAAACACTCCTTCATGGAGAAATGAACAACACCAAAAAGAAAGCTTTGCCTTCATTAAGTTTTGTTCCTTGACATCACTTAGTCTGTAGAGCAAGTGGGAGGCTGGATGTAATCTCTGGACTACACCCAGTTCATCTCCCATCTGACATTTCTTTTTGAGTATGAAAAAGACATACAGGCAGTCCTGAGGTTACGACGGCAATTGGGGCCGGGATTGCCGTTGCTAAGTGATGAGGTTGTAAAGTGATGCCATTGTAACCCCAAGACTGCGTGTGTCATTAAGCAGGAAGAGACGAGAGTCCCAGGCAAAGAGCTGGGGGCTGCCACAGACAGGTGCTACGGAGTGTGGATCGGCCAGTAGGGGCCACAGGTGCTATGGAGTGTGAGCAACTTGGCAGGGCCCACAGGCAAGCATTACAGAGTGCAGGCGGGCCAGTGGGGGCTGCAGGCATGTGTGCACTCTGGGGTGCAGGCGGGTGGGGGGTTGCTATGGGATCTCATACTCTGTAGCGGGGCTCCTTGGAAGAAAATGTTGCAGAAGCAACTTGTAACCTTCCCTGCCGGCTTCCCCATTGACTTTGCTTGTGGGAAGCTGGCAGGTCACAAATGGTGGTCACGTGACCACAGGATACTGCAATCATTGTAAGTGCAAGCCAGTTGCCAAGTGCCCGAATCATGATCACATGGCCATGGGGATGCTGCAACAGCCGGAACTTCGAGGACCGGTTGTAAGTATCATTTGTTCAGTGCTGTCATAACTTTGAACAGTTGCTGAACTAGTGGTCGTAAGCCAAGGACTACCTGTAGCCTGTTTAGATGTACTGTACCAACTGTACCAATGAATGCATTCAGCTGCAAGTTCCTATTACCATGCAATGTATAGAAGGACTCGTGTTAGAAATTAGTGCAGTGCATAGTGTTTACTTCAGGAAGGTGCAATTGAAGCAAGATGAAGGAGACACAGAAACAACATGGAAGTGCAAAAGTTTGTGGGGATGGAAAACAATGCAAGATAACAGAAATGTGCTATAGAGAAAGTGATGTTGAGTGGGAGTAGAAAGAGTTAAAAGTTTAGGATGGGTGAAGCAGCTGGAGATTGGGAGAATAGGGAGAAGGAGCTGAGTCAATCTGTCTTAACAGACTTAGAAACATCACATAATAGATGTTATGACTGCCTTCATAACAGTGTTAGAGTTGAGTTGTGTGTCACTATTTAGGGCAATAAAATGTAAAGATGATTCCTGAATAATTACAAAGAATTTTATTGCCAATTACCAGTAGCAATAATATCACACTTTCCTGCATCAGCTATAGTCCTAAAGACATGCTTTGCTAATGAGTACAATCAGACTTTTAGGCAAAAGATATACTAGTTCTGATTTCAAAGCATGCAGTGCCTTGAAATCTCAGCACTTAAGTCATCCAGCCTACCTTACAATACCAATACTAACAGAAGTTCTTCTCTTGATAGGGATGCTATCACACCAGCTAAAGCAGCATGTGATAGATGGAGAGAAGACCATCATCCAGAACCCCACAGACCAGCAAAGGTATGGGACTATTTGGAACTGATGGCTACCCCTGTTTTGAGAATGACTTGCAGTTTTTTTAATGTTATCACAGTTTTGATGGAAAGTGAAATGGAATCCCTGATTTTCAGTTAGTAGTTTATTTTATACAGCTTTCCAAACACTGTTCAGATGGAAATGGTCTTTATATGTTTATTTCTTATCTAGAAAGGACCATGAAAAGGCAGAGTTTGAGGTCCATGAAGTTTACGCCATTGATGTTCTTATTAGCACTGGAGAAGGAAAAGTAAGTCTGCCTATCTTATATCTCCCTTGTAAGTGGGTATTCCATAAGATACCCAACATACTATTATGTAACATAATAAAATATATTCCTGACTAGGTTGCTTGGCCTAATGTCTTGGAAAAACCACTTAAGTTGCTAATTCCTGCAGAACTAATAAAAGTTAACAGAGTAGTAGGTTCCTGTGTTGGCCTCCCTCTTCAACATGTATTGATTGGGATATTCAGATGCCCAAAGACTGATGTGTTCTGTTCCAGTCCCAATCTTTAAGAAAGGCAATAAATTTGATCCTGTTGTATTTCCACTCAATCAGTCATTAAGTGTTATTAGTAAACTGTATGCTCTACATCTGCATGAGAAGCACTGATTGGCTAGAATAGCAAGTCTTGGCTGGTGAACAAGAAGCTTCAGGGCAAGACAAAAAGTAATAGATCAGAGTATTATTCTAAGTCATCTGATAAAAAAATAATTCTCTCGTTCTCAAGATTCTCTTTATGCCACCTTTATAATTTGAAGGCAGCTTTTGATTCAGTCTCTAGAGAGAGACTGTGGTGAAAAATACTAAATACTTCTATAGATCACTGTCTTATTACACTTACTGCAGGTGGAGGTCTTTCTGCCCCAATTTCTACTGTAAGAAGAGGCTGTATCTTGGTCCTTTTTTAATTTAATCTTTATATTCACTCCCTAATTCAAGCCCTAACAAAAAGTAAAATTTTCTTCCCAATGGTAGCAAACAAACCAGTATTTGTTTTGGTTTATGCAGATGACACAGTCATCCTTTTCCTGACATAAGTTTATCTTCAACAGAGTACAAGTCTTAGACACTTATTGTAGGGAAGAAAAACTAGAAATTAATTAAACGTCATATTCACAAAATGATGTGTGGATGTCCTTCATAAATGGAAAATCAACAGCAATCAGGCTGAGCAAATCAAATCTTTTAAATACTTAGGAATTGTGTTATATCCTTTAATACATGGAGAGAGCATGAAAAGGCTATTTCATCACACACACAAAATTTCCAATGCAACAATTACGTTTGCCAACCACCATGGAAATAATTATGTTCCCTCACAATCATGCTTTTGGGGGCCAAAGTATTGAGCCTAATACTCTATGGTGCACAAATCTGTGCCTAATATGATGCAGTTTGGAGGCAATTTAGTCCAAGTTCTTAAGAGCAATGCTTCATGTCCCTTGTTGCCTTCAAACATGAGCTTGAGGCTGGAGCTAGGTTGTGTGTCAATCAAGGCTCGCATGAGGATTTGCCAATTGAAATACTGGCTAAAACTAATTTTGGGAGAAAGATCTCTGTCCCAGTTAGTTCACAAGTTGTTATTTGATAGTTTACATAGTAGTTTGGTCTATGATTGTAAATAAATAAACTGGGAAAGTCACTTAAGTTGGGAATGATTCCATAAAATCATAGTTGTATTTCAGAAAAATTGTCTTTTCTCCTTCTTTGCCATATGCCTGCCATCATGAGAGTAATCGTGAGACTGTGTTGCTGAAACTGTTGTGAATTACCCTTTGTTTTTAGGCCAAGGATGCTGGGCAAAGAACCACCATTTACAAAAGGGACCCTTCCAAACAGTATGGTTTGAAAATGAAAACTTCCCGTGCCTTTTTTAGTGAGGTGGAGAGACGATTTGATGCTATGCCTTTCACTCTCAGGTTTGTGTGTAACGCTTCATAGCAGGAATTCCACTTGGCTGCTCAGCCGTTGAATAATTCTAACCACTGAATAGTTTCTGCTCAATCTAAATCAATACTTACCTTTTACAGTATATCTTATAATAGTAAGATATACTGTAAAGGAAAGCTATTGTTTTAAATTGCATTGCTTTTTCTACTCTGAAGGATAGGAAGGTTGGTGCACTGGCTTGTGATTAAGAAGCAGGATTATAACACTGTGCTGAGGGAGTCTAAGAGACTGCATAAGTGAAGTACACTGACTGGGTTCACACAATGCATTAAGCTGGAGTTTGTGCAATCATGAATGGATGAACCATGGTTGAATGCATTTGCACCATATGCCAAATCAAATAAAGTATGTTGTGGCTTAGTGCAATGTATGAGCCAGGCTCCTTGCAAAGTCAGTTATGGAGGACTCTGGTAGTCTATTAAGTGCTCTTTTTGGCTTATATGAGTCACCCACACATTTTCCAAATCAAATTTGCAGTCATAAGAGCTAGAAAAGCTAAGGTACCTAGGGAGCTGAATCCCGTGCCTGGTGCCAGCTTCTTTACTTGGGCAGACACAGGATTCTTTGCAGTTAGAGCCAGCTTGTCTTCCTGAAAAAATTCTTGAGTAACCAGAAAATCCTGAAAGACGTATGTTTGGATTCTGAATCTGTTCTTCTATTTCCCATAGGGCATTTGAGGATGAAAAGAAGGCCAGGATGGGGGTAGTTGAATGTGCCAAACATGAGCTGCTCCAGCCCTTTAATGTCCTCTATGAGAAAGAAGGTGAATACTTGCTGCTGAATGTCAGAGCTATTTTTGTCTTGCATCAGGCTAGACAGTTTCCTTCCAGAGCCAGTTGCTAGGCATTGCTTTGCAGGGTGAGAAACCACTGGCCTTTCAGGTGTTCCTGGAAACTTCCAGGGTTCCTAATCACTGGCCAGGCTGCTTTGGAAATAGGGACAGGGAGACCTCTTTCTACTTCGTGAGACTCCTGAAATCCAGTGTAATTGCAGTGCTTCCCTCCTGCTGCTTCCAAGCCTGGCAAAATTGGGGGAGGCTCATTTTTGCAGTTCGGTGAGGCTTGGTAGATTTTAAAGCAAAAGGGCATCTTCCTGCCTTTGAGCATTTTGGACAATAACACCACGATGAGACTGATCACTCTGTCGAGGGAGGGGCAGAGTCAATGGTAATTACAAGTTTTAACTGGGCATTTGCCCAGCCAGGTTTGTGGTTTTCGGATCGCGGGCAGTGATGTCTCAGGCCAAGTAGCAGACAAGTATGTTGCTGCTCAGACAGGAACCTGCCCAGAAATGTTGCCTTGGATTAAGGCAAGTTTAAGAGGGGTGGGGCCCACTTTCTGGATGACTGACATGACGCTTCATTTCCCCTGTGGGGGCAGATGGGGCAGAACCAAAGTAATGTGACCTTCTGGTGCATTATTTTTTTTCTTGCTTTGCGCACATCTTGTTGCTAATGGTTGTTTGCTATATTGCTCTGTTGTTAATCTTCTACTCCCCCTCCCCCGACTAGGAGAGTTTGTTGCCCAGTTTAAGTTCACGGTGCTTTTAATGCCCAACGGCCCCATGAGAATAACCAGTGGCCCCTTTGAGCCTGAACTCTACAAATCAGAATTTGAAGTTCAAGATGCCGATCTGAAGGTTAGTACAATTATTGTGCTCTTGTAAGAATCAAAGTCACAAGAACAGTTGTCATAGCGGAGAGAATGGTTTGAATTTCCTATTCTGGTGGTAAAAACACCATGCAATAAATATTCAAAGTTATTCTCCCATACTTGTTTAACATATCCAAAGGACACAAGTAGCGAAATGGAAATTTTTATCAAAGTTTTATAGAGAAAGAGCAATAAGCATATCACTGCCATTACACCTAAGTCCATTGGAACTTGTGAAAATTATTTTGAATTAAAATTAAACATTTTCCTGTCTTAGGTTAGTGTATATTGTGCAACTATATAGCTGTTTTTTTTAAATAGAGATATACTGACTCTTCCAGATCTTCCTAGTCATAGCTACTATCCAGTAATTCTCTACAAACTGGTGAAAAGGGAAGCAGCTGGCTCCAAAGGATGCATAGCTCAGCTCTGTGTGATTCCAAGGGTCCATCCCAGGGTGTGTCAAACATTCTAGGGCTGGTTACATTCCTACACGGCTGGCAGTGATTTCTCCTTTATTTTTGTCTTAGAAGAAAGGGAAGCGCTTACTAGGTACCTTTACTCCTGATATTTTTCTTTTTCTAGGCACTCCTACAAAGCTCAGCAAGCCGTAAAGCCCAAAAAAAGAAGAAAAAGAAGGTAACTTGGCTCTGAGATGTATGGTGATGTAACACAGTTGAGCTCCTGCAAGTAGTGAGAGCTCAAATATATTTATGCCTTAGATCATCCTTAACAGAGAGTCTTGCTCTGAACGGATTATTCAGTATAATATGTAATCCATACAGCATTATATAATATTGTGTAGTTCTGTAGACCTAACCTCAGTGGCAAATGGACAATATACTTAGATTCTAGGAGGTTCAGTTCAAAAGAAGTGATCACATTAGATAAGTTTTAATATACTTTGATTTGCAGAAGAGTAAAGTGGTACGGCCAGTTACGCAAAGAAAAATGCCAACTCTACATAGTTTGGGGCTTTCCATCAGCAGGTGGCAGCACCCAAGTGACCTTGGCTGAGCTCCAAAAAAGCTAAGCAGGTTTGAAAGATTAATAGGAAATCTCAGCTGTAGGCTAAGACTAGAAATCCCAGAAGAGGGCAGTGGCAAGCCATTTCCATGTTGCTGCCAAGAAAACGGATGCGTTCCTGTAGTCCACCAGGAATCAAACTTGACTTATTATGTCTGTCTGGATGTGATTTCATCTCCCTTATAAATAGAGTAACTCACATCTTTGGATCTAACCAAAGGCTGAATTGCTTAAGCTTCGTACAGCCAACTCTCCCTTCCTTCCTTTGTTTTTCTAGGCCTCCAAGAATGCTGAGAATGCCACAACAGGGGAAACAGCAGAAGACAATGAGGCTGGCGACTGAACGGCTCAGCTTTCCTCTGCCTCGCACCTGATTCTTTCTCTCCCATGTCCCCCTCTAACAAGAGAAACGAGCATCCCTGCATGGCTGTTTGTCTCCTAGGACCACAGGACAAACAGCCTGGACTTCCCACAAAGTGCAACCAGCTGAGATTGACTTGGCCACTAAGGGAGGAGTCTCTTGGCCACTTCAGAATACTTTTAAACGTGTGAAATAATAAAATCAGGAGTAAAAAAACAGTCTACATTCAATCTTTCTAGCCTTTGATACTACTTGTGCTCCTTAGAAGTGAGCAAATGCAGTTCTCAGCAAGAACAGGAGCTTTCTTCTCGCTCCACCTCTCTCCTTCCCTATTAAAGGTACTTTAACTCTTCTGAAAAATCCTTTGACATCTTTGCAACTAATTATACATGCAAAAACTCAAATCTTGACTTCAGAATTGCATTACATGCAGCTAGTATATCTTGCATGTCACTGCTTTTTCACTGTTTAGGCAGTTTTTCCCTCTTAAAACTCTAGGATGTTCTTAAGTTACGGGAGGGGAGGATTTGCTTTTTCAACCCCCAATGATACATTTTAATTTTTGCAGAAAGGCTCTTTGAAGATTATTCTGTTCCTCTAGGCAGTATCATTTTGTGTGTACAGAATTATTTTCATTTGGTTATATATTATTGTTGGTTTAAATTATCACCCCAGAACAAAGATAGGTTAATTAACCACCTAGTAAAATCCTTTCCAGGCTCCAGGAGAAATAAACGGGATTTATTTCTGATTTAACGGGAGCTCTTTGATGTTTTTTGACATTTTGTGCATTTGTATTTACTTATCCCCCACACACTTGCCTTTTCATTACTAAAACATTTCACTGTACTAATATATATGATACCTAAAGTAGGATTTTTCAGAAGAATTCCTCCATATATATAATTTTTACATGAATGAATGGAATGCTACAGAAGTGGTTGGACCTGGAATCAATTCCATTTATGAGAATCTCTTTTCTATAGTATGTCTTTCTAAATTGTCCATTTCAATTGTATATGATCATGTGGGATGTTTTTTCTATGTTATTCCAAACCAGGTTCTTGTCTATACCCTTAATGTAGCTGAATTGATTCCTGTAAAACTGCTTTGTGCTGTATGGCAGGCAATACCCTTCTGTCCAATATACCTGGAGTTTAGCATTTAAAAGTCTCAGTTACTACCAAAGGTTAAGACCATCAAAAAAATTTTTAAAGTGTCTTTTTTTCTGTTTTTTTCCCCATCGGTTTGTAAACTTCTACATTAGTTCTAGAGTGCTTGCCTGCTTTTTGTAAGGATCACTTTCAACGCTGAGTTAGGAAAGTACAATGGGGAACATGTTGAGTGGAGACTGAATCATATGGAAGTAATGAGCTTGGAGAGGATCATGCACAAGACTTGCAATGAGCTGCCAATTTAGTTTTAAACTGCTCCCAGTTGTTAACCATGAATTTAAGAGAAGGGGGGGTGGAGGGGGGAATACTACTTGTTCCTAGTAAGGAACATTTTAGCATTTATAAGTAATATGTTTTCTTATTTCCCTTCCTTTATGGTTCAGCCACATTACCAGTTTATAAACCACTAAGGCTTGCGGTTTATTTAATTTTTCTTTATTTTGAAACTATAAAGCAATTGTATCCCTTGATTTAAAAAAAATGCAGTTGGAAATTTTGGAAGAAAATTCCCACAAATTGTTCTGTAACTTGTTTTTTTTTCCAAATAAAATCGATTAGTGACACCCATGGATAGATCAATGGGTCTGCTATGTTGAGGGGGTGGAGGAGTCTGAAATTTGAAATATTTTGATACAAAATAGTATATACTTGAAGAAATGTCTGCTTGTATGCACTTACTAACTGAAAATGTTAGGAAGAGTTGATTGCTCTTAACTATTACTACCTACTGGATTCTTCCCATTTCTGAAGATCCGAAGTTGTCGTGTAGTGCTATGTTTCTTACTTGAGATAAGCGTCTATGCCTGATTCATTGAATATTCTACAATGCATTTAAGAAACAGTAGGTTTATTTTCCTCCTATTTAAAAAGGTGGCTTTTGTTTTGATAATTAGCCTGTCCCCCCCCCCCCCCATTTTTTGGAAAGAAAGAATGACCTTTGAATTCTGGCATTAAGTACAGCTGGTTCTTTGCTTTGGTTAATTCTGTTTGCAACAAAATTCTCGATCCTGATCATACATTTTGCCATGCATCAGCAATAGAACTCGAGATGGGTCTTACATTTCCACCATTAGATACATTGACCCATCAGTAGTTAATATTCCTAGAAAAAAGCAATGGCAACTTTAACTTACACTAATGGAGAGAGAAATAATTTTAGTACTATGCTATGGACTTTGGTTAAGTGTTACAGTGCACAAAACCACACAATCCACACAAAACCACACATGATAACTAGTTTACCAGGTAATTACACCGATGTATTCGAAAGTGGCTACTAGCAACTTATAATAGCTGCCAATGATTTTGGCCAACATTTGAGGGAACAGTCTGTTTCTTTGACAACTTGTATTGTTCCTAATAGTTTTTATTTTCCACAACTCCAACCAAAGGGCTTCACAGCACAGTTGAATGCACCATAGAGCTGTTCAATTTGGTTTTAATGCAGGTCGAATGGAGACCTCTGTATTAGTTGGGAAATCTATGTTTCTAAGTTTTAAAGTGCCTTTATGAGTCTTGAATAGAATGTAATTTAATTACTGACTTGTTTCTATACAGGAAATTGGGAAGCTCCCAACATGAATTCTGTTTTGGGGTGTCAGTCAACCTTACTGTGTCTGTCTTGAATATCAGTGTTATGATCACTAGGGTTAGTAATAATATTTTCAAGCTCTTTTTGACTGCCCTGTACTAGAAATGTAGATTTCAATAAAGCACTTCATTATAATTGGGCCTCAACCAAATGAGCTATGTTATTTATTTGCTCCTTTCCATCTCTGATTGTACAAGGTGGATGCAGTATCTTTATGATGAGCTTTTTTAGATGGCCTAAAATCCATGGGGCCACTAACCTTTCTTTATTATATTGATATTCCCCCCTGTTCACAAGCTAAAGGTAATGCTCCCTCCCTATTTTATTTTTCCTTGCAATAACCCTGTGATATAATTGATCTAGTTACTAGCTGGATTCACACTGTGGTTTGGGTTTCAGAGTCTTGTGTTAACTCGGCCAGCTTAAGCCATGATTTAATACAGCACGTGAATTCAGCTGCTTTCCCAGCGAGCTTCATAAGCGAGTAGTGATTTAAACTCAGGTCTTGGGACTACAGCAGCTCAGTATTTGATACTGCATTGTATGTTCAATATCTGGATTCTGATTCTGAGCTGAACTGTGACTTGCAATGTGATTTGAAGGATCTGACTGGCTTCATTTGCACACCAAACCATAAACTAACCAACCATGCTTTATTATGTGAACCCAGCCCATGGGTTATCATTTGTTCTAGTGTGATGTGTGGACCTGTCCCTAAAATTGAGCTAATTGAATAAACTATAATTAACCATTTGTAAAAATAAGAAACACAATCAATTCCAGGAGGATTGCAGAGATGTTTGGTGAATAAGCCCCCAACACTTGTACATACAGTATTTAGAAGTTCTGAGGATAAGGAGATCATTGAAGTTGAGAAGTTTTGAAAAACAGAACTGGGGTGTGTGGTTTTGATTGCGTCTATCCCTCAGTCCCGTATCCCCTACAAGACTCAGGGGCAAGTCCCTAATTGCCCATGGAACTAGCCAGGTTACTGAACCCCTGGTTCAGCCCAGCCTACTTCACAGAGTTGGGGGGAGGCTCCTGCATCAGAGAAAAAGGTACAAATGCCGGAATCAATATTCATTCTGCCCAGAACAAGAAGTTCAGGTAATGGCAGCCACATACATTGAAGCTGCCAGTGCAGGGTTAGGCCAGGTTGGAGCCTACAAACCTCCCCCCGGCTCAGCATTAGATTGTCTCCTGCAGGAGGCGTGTGGCGGCTAGAGTGAGTATTAAAGCCCTATTCAGCGCTGGATCCCGAATCCACAGTATAATCCGATAATCTCCGGAACAGACCATGCAAGCAGCATTCCTGTAGCACTCTGTATCTTGACCATCGACATACTAGGTTTGGGGGAGAAATAAAATAGCCCACTGAGAATATAGATGATGATGATGATGATGGATCTGCCATATTATTGGCATCCCTAGGACTCTGGTTCTATGTAGATTTACTTGAATGCAAGCTCCATTAGCCAATACTATTACTGAGGTATTGTGTTGATTTTTCATGCATTAAAACCCAGTATCTCTTCAATGAAGTGGCTTTCTAAAAATTTTTTAAAAAATGCTGCAGCATTAGCAATGCTCTTCTTAGTCATGGCCTTCTAATGTCTTGTACATCTGGTTGCCCTAACAGGATGCCATTGTGAATGTGTACAGTACTTTAGCATTTAGGATGTGAGAAAGTTTTTTGGAACTTAATATTTATCAAGGTTGGGGGGGAAAGGTAAACTCAAAGGATTGCCTTAAAACGTTTTTGATGCTCCCAGTCTTCTGTTGTCAACAGTACGTGCAATTCTCCTGTATAAAATTACAGCCTTATCTGTTCTTGGGATTTAAGTCCCTAAGAGAGCAGTTCGGCAGTTTTGAATTAGTAGGCTTTAGGTCTGAGGAGATTATGAGGGTTGCTAATCCACCAAGAGTTGTGAGATGGGGCCACATATCAATTCAGTAAATAATCCTAACCCCGTCCTTAGCTACAATAAATTGGGAAGTGGAAGGATTGCAGGTTAAAATAATCTTTTATTCATACTTCGTTACTGTGCAGGGCAATACTGATTTTTAAGATTAAAGCAGGCAATTAAACTGACAAAGTATTTTGGGAAGGGCCTTCTGTACACAGGTAGGGGCAGATTGTGCTCTATACGCAGCAGTTCATTACCGGACGAAAATTACATTCTGGGCTGTGTTTGTTCACTTTTAATCCTAAACTCTTTTCCCCGTAACTCCATGGGAATTAATTGTGCATGGCTATCACGTCTTACTATTTAGGCAAGCATTGGTGGAGTAAAAATTACTTTAAATTCAAAATGGTGGAAAACTGTACAGACCTAACCGGAAAATAAATAACAAGCACCTTTATAAGTGCAAACTACGTTTCCCATCATGCAATGCGGCAGGCACTTACGGCCTTGCCCCGCCCTCTCACAAAGGGATCTATAAATAGCAGCCGACGGCCTTCCTAGGCCTTTCCGCTGTTTGACGACGGCGCCATTTTGTGCGCGAGGCGCTTGATGGTGGTTGGTGCGGTCTTGTCTATCCGTTGCCATCCGGCTATAGCCTTGCCGTCTATTTTCAGGGAGTGATCCCAGGGGCTTCGCCCCGTTATGAGAGCTAAGGTGAGTGGTGTCTCGAGCCCGGAAACGTAGCTTGGGTTTGCAGTCTGTGTATTTCGGCACCCCTTTCGATGGGTGGCCAAAAGCAAGCAGGGTCTTAATGCTAGTTGGCGGGCGGACGGTTTGAAACAAAAAAACTGGAAATGCTGCTGGAATACCTCTGGCGAACAAAGCTGTTTTGAGCCTATATACTGAAATCTGAGCTGAGGCCCCGATTAGTTTAAAGCATGAAAAGTGGGAGCATGTCGTATGTAGCCTGCAGGAAAGACAGTAAAACATGGAGCCTTTTAAGCCGCCAAAACGCTTAAAGGATAGGGAACCGATCTGAAAAGCTTTTATTTAAATGGAGATGTTCAGTTTTTCGTTTCAATCCCTTTCCATCACATTCGTAGATAATGGCCCTATTGAACTCTGTGGGCCCCACTTCTGATGAAATGTATATTTATTTATTGATCACCACTAACTCCTGAATGGCTGTTATGTATAAGTAACTCTTGCTCTGTAGTAGAATGCAGTGCTCAAGATGCCTTCTAGATACCTAAATATATAGATGTGTTGTGTAGTATTCTGTGCACTCCATGTTGATTTAAATGCAGGCTTCTTTATTTTCATGTTAAAGGGTCTTTGCAGCTTTTTGGTCATTTCTACAATTATCAATTGACTTATACATATTGGTGAAATTTTGCAAAATACAATTTAAAATATGTAACTGAATATATGGATTTTTTTCCATTTGTATGAATCATTGGCGCTATCATAAATTCTAATGTGATTTTTTTTTTCTATCCCACCATCTTTAGTGGCGAAAGAAGCGAATGCGCAGGTATGTGAGCATATGTTTTTACTTTATTCTGTTGCTCATTTGTTTGCTCTAAAAGGGTATTGGACAGTCTTAACTTTTAATCTCTTTTTAATAAGATTTTTTTTACCTATGGCTGGTTTAAAATTAAGTGGTAGTTTGTCCAAGCTCAGGATTGATGTTACAGCCCCTTTGTACCTGGGATTGCAACTGACTACCTTGCAGTGAAGATGCTAGATTTCTATTTTAACCAGTCCCTCCTTTACTAGGTCAAATAATTGATAGAGATGTAACTAAAATTGCTAGGGCTAGCTTGTACTGTTTTTGGATTGATAACAATAAGCATTTGTTAGATTGTAGTGGCTAGGCTAACAGCAGCATTTAAGAAACACAAGAGTTACCTCAAGACTCCAGTGAAGTGTCTGTAGTGCCCTGGGATATGCAGAGCGTATACCCCATCATTCAGACTTGTGCAAGAATAAATGGACTTCATTGGAATTAAATAAGTAATAAATGGAACATTGATTTTGCAATAACCAAAAACCCTTTAAAGGCAAACCTCAGCTCCTCTATTGTATATGCCCTCTCTTTATTGTGGTTCTGCATTAAATGATTAATCTATTCCTCAATATGTCCTGTTCTTCTCTGCACAGGTTATAAGCTTAAGACTTGGATATTTCAGGGGCCAGCAAATGGACATCCCTGTTTCATAAACTGAGGAATTTTAAGAATTGATAGTGTAAGAAAGCAGAATACACCAAGTATACTTCATGTGATGCTTGTTTATTAATGTTTCTGTATAGGTGGAAGCTTTAAGGGTTAGGGCTACTGTAATTTTTTTTTGAATACACTAAAAATATGTCATAGAATAAGTTCCTTGAGTAGATACAAAAACTGGCAATTTTTATTTTTATCTTCTGGTATTGCACTGACATTGCCTGATTTGGATTGGATTGGTTAGTATTTTGAATGGACGACCATCTGAGAATTTCTGGGAAACCACTTCAGTAATGCTACCAAGAAAATAGTATCGATATAGTCATCAACCTGTGCTTTTGCATGTTGATCTGGAGATTTATAATTTATTTGCTTTTTGCCCCCTGTGCTGTAGAAGTTCCTATTATCAAAAAAAAAGCAATTATTAAACTGAACAGTCCATAATGATTATTGGGGTTTTCTGTTTGATGGCTCCTGAAGTGTTCAGTCTAAACCTGCTTATCAGAAATTGATCTGGAGAATGAGTAGGTTCTATATCTTACCTTATTTCCTCTCACTTCTCCTATATGCCATCTCAAAAGTTCTGTTTTTGCAAGCATTTTGTGTATACCAGAAATGCCCTGAGCCTTATTTGAACTGTTATAACATTACTTTAGTATTTTCAGTTAATATTATTTTTTCTAGGCTGAAGCGCAAAAGGAGAAAGATGAGGCAAAGGTCCAAGTAGACATCCATCACAGTGCTACTGAAGCTGCAAAACAGCATAGAAGGGTGGAGTTTGGGGAGCTGACTTCCAGATAATGCCTTCTCTTTGCTGCTGCTAGACGACTCCTTGCCTATCTTCAGGAGATTCCATCTCCAAGCCTGGGAGCAGTGATCCTTCAAGGGTGGCACCCCTGAGCTTTACTATTCTGGACTGATCTTGTCCTTGATGGCTTGATGTAGCAACTGTATCAAATAAAAACCCCTTTTTGGGGGAATTCTATGTTTTTTCTTTCAAATGTTAATTCTTCAGTAAAAAGATTTTGAAATTATGGTGACCCAGATGCGGTTTCTGGGTGATTTCAATTTGACTTTGGAAAAGGAGGTCTGTGCTTATTTTATTTCTAATTAGCTCATGGTGTCTTTTCACAGTTTGGTAAACCATTCTACATATGCAGCTAGTGTTTTGGGTTCTGATGATTGCATTGTGGAGTGAGATGCAGTCTTCTGGTATTCAGATTTCAAAAAGGTGCTTTTGAAGGAAAAAAGCATTCTGCTTACAATCCAACTAGCACCATTTCTTCATGAAAAAAGGTAATGGTTTTCAGCTCCACAAGTACCTTGGGTGACTTTGGGGAGAAGGGTATTTTTTATATACTATACTGATGAAGTGGAAGCAGATTTCTCCTGTTGGGTTATTCCGGAAACAGTATGAAATCTGCCCCATGTGTTTCTAAGCTCAAAGTGGAGAGTTTGCGATTATTCATTACATAATGGATGGGGTGAGCTTGTTTACTATTCAAAACTGGTCTGGCTAAAAAACTTGAAAAGCATGTGCTGTTGCCTGTTTCAATGACCTGAATATTCTTAATGGGCTGTAGTAATCAGTTCTAGTGAATTGGTTTTTTTCAATTTCTGTGGAAGTAATATCCACTGTAAAAGGGTGATGGTAAACCAGTGCTAGAAAACAAAGGCTGCATAAATGTCCTGATGTCAAATGCAGTATAGATGACTGCCTACCTGAATGTCACAGTAAGATAACGTTCTTAAAGTTTGATCTAAAGCACAATTGTGCATGTCAATGATTTCAAAGCAATGACCAATTTAATCTGAACAGGAGAATGTATGGCTATAACATGCTTTTAAAAAGCTTGCAGTGATTTCCAAAATGCACTTAAATCAATCTGTTTATTGCAAACTTCCACTTTAGAAGGTAAGAAAACTTTCAACATTCAATAGAAAATCATGTCAGTTATTAGTGCATGTTGCTGTACAGTACAGTTCATGTATTCAGACTATGAAGATACTGGGGTTGGGAAAGAACCATGATTGTCAAGTTCCTTGTAAATTTACTAATGCTCAGAAATGTAATAAATTCTCCCTGAAGGGTCATCACATCAAAAACTAATTTCTATTACTGTACATTACTGCACTATAAATCCTTGGGGGTCACTAACTGTTCCTTTCCAAAAATAATTAATTTTATAGAGTGTTCTAAAAATGTGGTTCATGAATAACTACCCCCTATGGTGTAGTTACTTGTGGGGATGATGCACAAGTTTGAATTAGTGCATAAAGTACAATTAATGATGTCATTACTGCCAATGATGAATGTCACCAGGTAGGGTTAAAAAAAAAAACTCAGGTATTTGACGTTCGTCTTTTTTCCCATTATGTATTTAAAATGGCATCCCCATGTGTTTGTCCTTCCTCTGCGGTCATGAAGGGGCTTGTAATAATGACGCCGCCAGCCCCGGTTGGGTTCAGTCGCTGACAAAAAGCGAGGGTTGCAAGAAAACGGTAACAAAGCGCAGGAAGCAGGAACACGATTCACTACGGGAGCCTTAAGTAGGGACTCCCCGCCACGAAAAACTTAGGAGTCGTCCCGCTCGTAACGTAGACCGGCGAGGCGGGACAGGGCCACTTCGTCCACCGCTCCTTTCCGCAAGTCGTGGGACGGAAGCAGAGGAAGAGAACGTCGCGGTTGCTGTGGCAACCTTGACAGCCGGGAACGTCGGTCGACGTCCCGGCTGAGGACGAAGCATAGAGTACTTCCGGCGACAGCGGCAAGAGGGGAAGATTACGACCGGAAGGGGTTGCGCTTTGTTTGGAGCAGAAGAGGTCGGAGTAAGGGTGAGTGGGTGGAGGTGGAAGTGTGGGGGATCGGCTCCCTCGTGGGGCTCCAGTGCCCCCCCCATTTCCCCTAGAAATGAACAGCGTGTCCTTCGAGAGCCTTAGGAACCGTCTTGCCGAGCCCCTTCCCGGGGCCACTCACAGGGACGCCCAGCTCCCCTTCTGTTCCCAGTAGGCTGCTTGACCCTTCCCCAAAGCAAACTCAGCTCTCCCTCGGTCTTTCCCTCTCAGGAAGCTCTGGTTTTTTTGTTTTGTTTTGTTTTGTTTTTCAAGGTTTGCCTTCTGGGACTTGAGAAGTATTCAAGATCTTGAACAGGGCTTGGATAATTAGCAGAAAGCTCAGAAATAAACTATGGGGTAGCCGTCTGTCGCAGCGTTTCTGCCCCAAGCAAGATGCATCCTCACCACTGAAAGTAAAGAGCTTTGTTCTGAGGTTTGATTTAAGAAATATTCAGGACTTTAGTGTATGACCTGTCATCAAAGCTGGACAGAATGGGGCCATAAAGTAAAAACTCATTTCAAAAATTATTTGATGGGGTTGTACAACTCCTCGTTGTGCTTATTGTCCTCACAAGGTGTGCATGGGACACTGCTCCTTTTATTAAAGTATATATGCTACTGAAATATGAATCCAGTATTCTGATATTATAAAAAACATACAGCAAATTATCTCAGCATGTGGGACTGGGCAACGGTATGAAATAAGTTGGTTGCTTCAAATGTTGTGTTTAGATGTTATGGGATTTCTCAGAAGATTCCTACAAATTCCTAGATCCAAATATCAATATTTGACAGACTTCCTCAGTGATGCCTCTTTTTCTTCACTATAAGCCATAGAAGGAATGCTGGGCACGTTCTATTTTCAGTTTGTGTGAGATGATTTACAAGCCTGGCCAGGCCTTATAGATACTAAGCACATCCAGGAAACTAAATGCATTCTGTTTTCTCCAATACTTGAAGACTCAGTAGCAGATTTCTAGGTATTCCTTAGCAGGTTGGAAGCTGGCAAGCCCCTGGAATAACTAGAAACCAGTTTCCTTGAGACTAGGATTGTGGTAGGAAAGAATTGAGACTTAGTTACATAGTCACAAGTGCAACACCAAGTACGTGTAGAAGGGTTTTCATGTCTTATTTTTTGCATTTTCTTCCTTTAGGTCTTGGGGCCATAACCCATTCTGGAATGTCTTTGAAAAATTTGTATCACAAAGGTAAAGTTCAAATTAGAAATGAGTGGCTTATCTTTAAAAAATATCTTATTAGTGAAATATTAAATGTTCTTAGTTTAGTGGAGAGCTTTAAATTCAATTTATAGTCATGACAGGATTGTAATTTGAATTATGGACTGTGAGTATGGGAATTTCCTTACACTGTTTTACCATACAGTTTGAAACTGGGAGAAGTATGATGACTCAAAAAAAAACACTCCTCCATATGTAGGGTTTTGTGTCTTTTTTCATTATTTGTAATTGTGCCATCTGAGCTGACACCTCTCTCCACTTAGCACAGCTTCACATAAACAATGGCACATTGTGATCTTAATGATGGACAATAGAATGGGAAATAGAATGTGGAGTAGAATGAAGTGAAGACAAGCACTCAGATTCTTTTCTCTTTGTATGGCATTGATTTAGGATAGGTTTGATTTCACATAACAGAGGGAATGGGTGACCTTTAGATCTGAATGTATATAATCAAAGTAATTTGCATAATTTATGTAATTAGGTAATTGAGGTAATTATATCATTTGTATGAAGTTACAACATTTACAAATGATGCTACACAAATGATATAAATTGACATCATTTGCAGATGATGTTGCACAAATAATGTAAATTTATGCAAGTGACAGAATAACTTTAATTACATAATTATGTGAATGATGTAAATTAAATCAATTATCTTGACTGCTTCAGAAGATGTTGACCGTTATTTGGAGGTGAAGTCTGAACTAAAAATTTTTTGGTTGCATCCAGAATTTGGTGAATGGAGTTCATAAAATTGAATGGGCTCATAAAATTGAGTATAAAATTTCAGTGTACTGATGATAGCTAATTCTGAACTTAATCTGTTGTGGCAGAGATGGAAAGGGGAGCTAGGTGAGTTTTTGGTTCACCTACAGAAGGAATGTGGAGCCTCTGGCTGATTGTGGCTATCCAGCATTCTAGCCCAGTCCCTCTAGAGCAGTGTTGTCCAAACTTGGCCACTTTAAGATGAGTGGACTTCAACTCCCA